GTTGTGGTGAGGGATTTATGCCAATACATCTTGCCAATGGGCCACTGAAAGCTGATTCTTACAACACAACACGACATCTTCGTGCTGCTGGCTAAACTGCTTCAGGATTTGGAAGCAAACAGAAAGTTGCGAAACCAACCCTGCAGAGCAAAGAGTCATTTCCATCTTAGAAGGGCTGGGATCATGGGTCGAGCATCGGCTCTTGGTTCTTAGTGGTTCATAAGGATATCAACGTCATTCTAGCATGGATGCCTGCGAATTTCGTCCTGTCGTGGTCATCGCACACTGCACATTTACGGCGAAACGACCTCGAAAGAGCACGACCCCCCCCCTTCTGTTCTTGCCACAAGAAGGCAGGAGCTGGTCCTGTACTCTCTGTCTCGTCCGCTCCGAATCCCGCAAGTCGAACACTTTTCAAGTGCATGGGAGCAAGGCAGGAAGCACTATCAAGGAGGTGACAGAGTGCTAGGGGGGCGAAAGCGCGAAGTCGCTGAAACGCTTGAAACTGCAAGTCAACTGCTATCTTGCAGAAATCTATTTCGGAAAAGTCCAAAGTCAAAATATTCTGAGGCAATGTCGACAACAGCACTGCACTCCTACGCAGCAAGTGCAGCAATCCCTTGCTCGTCCTGACCCTGGCGCTCCACAACAGCATGTGGTTTGGACCTTAGTGAACGCACCCCGCGAAGCTAGCCTGTGAGGATACGAGACTCCTTGGCCTCCTCGATGCAGCTTGGAACTTTCTAGCGACAGCTCAGCTCGGGACGTCATCTTGAAGCACAGTGTGTCCGGCCGTGTGTCCTAATATAAAGCTTCCCTTCCGTCTTGAGTTGTTACAACATGACATCTGGACGCAAGCTACTTGCCTATTTTGTCGCAGGGCATTGGATTATGTCAGATTTGTGCTGCACAGATGCCTTTCTGTTCACCAGGCGGACAAGGAAAGTCCGACTAGTGGAGCATCCGGAGCGTCACTGTCCAGGAAGGCTTCATGAAGCTTCGCTGCGGTCTCTGCCATGTTTTATAAAAGCGGGGCTTCCGCGGCCGGAGTGGTGTGGTGCATCATAGAGGGAGGCCCTTGGACAAACCGTCCATGACTGAAGAACCTCTTAAATCTAATTCTAAATGATTCTCGCTTGCTGAAGAACACCGTCCCCGCAAGAGCGTAGCTTGTCTTGGTTCCTTTATGTTCATTCCATGTGCTGAAGAAGGCTGTCCTCGTGATGGTCACCGCCAGATCTGAAGGTGACGTCGTGAGGTTCCGCCACGCCTCTTGGAATGTCGACCTGCCAGGGAAAGCAATTGCATCGACTTGGTGAAGTTCGAGGCACAATCCCTAAACTCATGACGGCTCGGCACGATAGACTCGGATCTCATCCTTCAAGCCTCCGAAGTCCTGCATGCCAGATGGTACTACACTGCTTTGTGTGGCGTTAGCTTGCCCAGATGCGGTCCTTCACGCGCCTGCTTCGCCGTATGCCCTTGTGACCACCATAGAAAAACCTGAAGCACAAGCCAACACCATAAAGTGTACGGCACGAGCGCCGGCTTCAAGAGCTGAGCGGCTTCTCGAGTTTCACGGCCATTGGCACGTCAATGTGCTTACCGGGAGGCTTTTGCATCTCCTGCTCTTAAGCGCAAGGAGCGGTCAGAAAAGAGACGCTGCTCAGCTGCAGCAACTCCTGCAGCTTCTTGAGGACTTCACTAGCATCAAACTGTGCACGGGTCTTCGGCTTGAAGCCGTTCACCTGCCACAGTCACACGTGCAAACCTTCACCATTTCACATATGAACTTCTTGTCTCCGCCTCGTAGGATGCCTTGTCCCTGTCACGTTCCCGATCATACCTTCGGAACGCATCACTCTTTCCTTCACTGTTCACTTAGGCCTCGGGACACCTTCTGAGATTCTTGCCTGGGAAACCGGACAAAGTAAGTCAAGCGATCTGGAAAAAACTACAAGTGCCAAACCGAGTTCAAACCCACAGAAGCAACATTCATGGTAACAGCTGTTTCGCTTTGGGAACAGCATGGAACCAGAGGGCGAACTCTGAAAATGGTGGAGGCCTTGCAGGGAAATACTCTTCAGCCAGTTTTGTCAAGTACCCAAACCTGCGGCCGCCCCAACCCTTTGTGTACCACGTTTCGCCTGCAGCTTGCCGATACTCGAGCCGGCAACCCGAGAAGCCCAGAACCCAAAGGCCAGAGACGACCTCCCACCCACCAAGCTTTGGACACACACACACACAGAGACAGAGAGTGACAAACCCAGACCGGCAAAGAGGTCAACTCAACACCTTCACTAAGGCTGCAGCTGACGACGGGTAGGATTGTCCCCCAGTGTCAAGTAGGCGTTCTTTAGCTCAATGAAGATGGCAGCGTACCTGGAGAGGTGTGTGTGCACTTTCGGTCAAAGTACTCTGACAGAGACCCACAGCCAGCTGTCGATTCTTCTTCTCCCGAGAGAGGGCACTCCTCTTTCTGTTCCGTGCTGAGGCCAGAGGTTTTGTCTGGATGGTACACGAGCGAGAGCTTCTTGTAGGCCTTGATCAAAGCGGCGGGGCTGCTCACCCAATCATCTTCCCCCGCTCATCCCGCTCCAGCGAAAGAGCTCTCCGCACCTTTTTGACCTCTTCCAGGGTCGCAAACTCGTCTATGCCAAGGACCTCGCTCCGCGTTCTCAGTCTCGACGTGTCACTGCAATCGAGATGGTGCCACTAGCGCCGCTGGCCTTGTAGTAGTTGATGCCTGACAGCACACTTGCCAAGCTGCATGTGCTCTTGTCGCACTGATGCTGTACACATGTGACTTGCCAAACAAATGCATCGGGGTGCATCGGTCAAACTCGTGTGCTTTCGGAGCCGAGAAATCGTCATCCTGCAAGCTGGAATCGCAAAAGATGCTGCCTTCGACAAGATTCTCGTCAAAAGAGCCCATCGGGCAGTCCACAGGCTTGAAAGATGGGTCGGTTTTCTTGCGCTTCTCGTCCCGGTCACAAGTGAAGGTCCAACAAAGGTCCTGCTCACCGATCATGGCTTCTGATGCAAAGTGGGCAGGAAGTGCAACGACCTCCGTCTTGCGAACTCCTTGCATGAAGGGGCTGTTCTGGAAGGCCCTGCATTCGGTGCAAAGCTGCGCAGAGCATTGCCGAACGATCTCGACGAAGCGGAAACTAGTCGGCACACGTGCCCTCAGCTCGTGGCGCATATTGGTCAGCATTCATCTTGGATGTCTCCCGTTTGCCAAGACGGGCCAGGGAATCCTGCAGGCGAGCACAGCACCAAGGCGAGTTGCTGCGGGAGCTCGGAGCTTGCGCCTGCTTGAAGCTGAATTGTCCATCGAAGGTCGTCACCGCCATGGCCGCTGCGGTTCGGGCTTACGCCGAGCTATCACCGAGGCGGCGAGGCGGCGAGGCGATGCAAGGGAGACTCCCCAAACTGGTTCCCACGCTCTAAAGAGCGACTTGACAGTCTAGTCTTCTGTCTACGGCTACGGAGTCTGCGGGGTTCTTCACTTCGATTTTGGTCTCCCGTTTCTTCATGGACATTGATTTGCACCCGGACAGCCCTTGCACAGCACTCAGCTGGTGGAAAAGTGTGCTGCACTTGGGCCTGCAAAAGCTGCGAAGCACGTCTGGATGCGTAGGCGTAGTCAGCACGGCAACATATGCTGCGGGAAAGCAGGGATGGACCGAGATGAAACCATACGTCCACTGCCCAACATCGAACCTGGTGCGACGGGCAATCCCGAGCTCCAACTAACAGTCAACACTGAGGAGTGGGCTCCCGGATGTACTTGCTGTCCAACACTGTCTTCTTCAGCGCCATGAGCCTTGCATCACAGTGCAAACAGTGAGCCGCTGGGCAACTCCTTCCATGTCTCAATTGTGCTGAGGTTCGCCGGAGCAGAGGGCAAAAGGGCCTTTCGTGGAGGGGAGGCCCCCCCCGTGCGGCCCCGATCCCTGCACTCCCTTAAGCTCGAGTCCAAAGGCAGGGTGCGTCATCGCTGAGAACATGCTGATGCTCCCACGCACAGTCAGGAACGAGTCCCAAAGGTGCGAGCGTCTTTTCTTAAAATGCAGACGTGACATCACATTGGCACTCTCTTCGACCACAGGTTTTTCCTGAGAAACATTCAACATTGGTGAAGGACTCCTAGCTCAGCAACATATTGCATCTTGATGTTGGCAACAGGTTCTAGAGTTCCAGTGTTTCAACACGAGACATGCACTTTGGTCAGGGAGTTCCTACTCGTTTCTACACACACGAATTACAAGGTGACACCCGAAACAATGGCAGATCGCGCTACCATTCGGAAAGCTTTGACGGCTTCTGCACAGCGTGCAACTGCACAGGGTGTTTCTGAGCTCTTGTCACCTGCGTACTCTGTCCAGTTGAAGTATTGCAGCAACAGTTTTGCTGCAGGCAGGGCGCAGAACTTGCCCAAGAGAGAAAACACCCTCACAGATGGAAGACTCTTGCTTCGTCTGCGACATTTCTTTTGCAGGGGTAGGCTCCTTGCTACTGCTGGGCGGACATGTGTGAAGGAAGCTACTAAGGCCTCCACATTGCAAAGTCGCGATACGCAAGCAAACGTAAGGACAAGTTCCACCACTATGTTGACAGCTGACTCACTCTGCACTCCACAGTGAAGTCCAACAACGGTTGAAATCAGACATGAATTCGCGAAGCCTGCAATGCGAAGGTCCCAGCGTGCACACAGGAAGGGCTTGCAATGAGATTGGCAGGCCAGCTTAAGTAACAATTCAACTCGTAATCGCAATGAGCCGGCAGACCAGCAAGCGGGCGGTGTGAGGGTCTCTATGCGATTCTATGCTCATCTGTCCGGCAGTTCCAAGTGTCCAAAAACGCCTCTGACTTATGATGTCGCACTCCTGGAATCTCGCATACGAATTCAAACGCCGCGGAGAAACACACCTTCGTCCCTTCATTCACTGGGACTCGAATATCAAGAAGCCCACGGAGGTCGCCTTTGGGGCTCGTCAAGCAGCCTTGGCTGGGACTCACTCTGTTTCGATCTGCAAGCACAGATCTTCTTTGGGACCCGCCTTGAACCTTCTGGACATCGTTTGTATGCGTATTGCTTCCTGAGGCCCTCTTAAAGCACGGCAGCATCCAGTTCCGTTCCCACGACCTCATAGCGATCCCTTTGTAAAACCGCTATGCCGCACCTGTCCTAGCATCTCAAGATCCTCCCCAACCAGAAAACTTCTGCGACGCTTTTCTGATCTACGGTAGGAGCTACGAAGACCTTCCGTCACGCGCCTATGGAAAAATCAGGTCAGAGGCCCAGTTAGGAGCTGGTCAACAAGAGCGTAATGCAATAACACGCTAGGGAAGTAGGTCGGGAGGAAAATTATGCGCAAACATGCGTCGGGTGGGCACTGAGGAAGCAGGGGTCACACCGTCACAGCCCCCTTAATCCGGTCCACTTGGCACTGCTTCTGAGGCGCTGATGACCGAATAGAAGCACTAGCAATCTCGACAGGGTTCGCAAGCTGTGATTTCCTCCCAGGTTCAGAGCTGCGACCGAAGCCACACACAGTGTTCTTTGTCAGGCACGGACTCCAGCCAGGAAGAGAACTCGGCCATGGAATCTCGCCGCCCACCAAGAAAATCCGGCCTGGGACTTGGAAAGATACACCTTCAACGAGGCCACAGCTCCCTCCGAGCCCCGCGCAATATCTCCGTCCCAAGCTTGTCAATCGCTGCCTGCGGCCCACCCCTGTGAACACGTGACCTGGCCAGCGCAGCCACGCACCTGAACACCCTGTCTGATGGTCAGAACCCGGCCTCATCTTGGAGCCAAACTTGGAAAGAAAAAATTGCACTGCGGAGGTGGCAACCCAACGAGCCTCGGTGACGGGCCGGGTGGGAGGCAAGACATGGCAAGATGCTCCTGCTTCGCTAGGCATGGATTTTGCACGGCTGGCTTGCATCCGTCGCTGCAGTTGCCTTTTTCTTGGACTAAAGCGTGGGCAAGATTCCAACACATTTCAGCTCTTGGGGCTTCCCAGCATCTCTCCGACTCCCCTCTCAACTAAAGGCTGTCACTGCTCTGTATAGCCTGGGCCCAACCAGTTGTCCGGCTCGCTGCCGGCTTCTGCCAGGGCCCAAACTTCATCTTCGATGAGTTGTACATGGGGTGCCTGGTACCCAGGTTCCACTTTCAAACCAAAGGCCAAAGTGTAAAGGGACGTGCCTTGATCGGAAGTGCAGAGCATAGTTCAATTCCTCTTCTCATGTCGTTCCAACCAGAGAGGCATGCCTGCCAGCTTCGCCAAGATCTGCAGGCTTGGCAGTCATGTGAGTCATGCGAACCTGCCAAATGACGGAAGAGAGCAGCCGCACGTCCAGCACCTCTCAATCAATTCTCATCTTTGATCCGGAATCGCGATACATTCCCTCATACACGGTGGACAATAAGGATCCGGCGATGGTTATACCGGGATGGTCCGGACGGCTGTCCTGAGTTTCAACATCCGACTCGCTGTGTCATCGCCAGACACAAAACTCTGAGCTCTTTGCTCTCAAGGCTGCCTCCATCATAAATAAAATCAGCAATTGGTACTCCTTTCAGTCGGGGCCCAATGACTTCTCAATGGCTTTTCACAACTGGCAGAGTGCTTGGGCCTGCATGGTGCACAATCGCCTCGGCTGTCTTTGCTTGCAACGGAGACGAGTACCCGGCCAACCCAGGGCCCGGCGTGTTCAGCTTCTGTGCTGTGAAAACGAGGAGGTGGGAATCGCCTGGCTATGTGGACGCCTCTGCAGAGCCCTTCTGCCCCGACGGAAGCAGTCCGCCTGGCCATCGAGGCGGCAGGTAGATCGTGGCTCCGCTGCGCAATGCCTTTCGCGGCGCCATGCTGCGCCAATCCACCCCCAGACCCCCACGGCCACGAGATGTGAGTCCGATGCAGCTTCCACTTGCCGGACACCTGATTCGCTGTGTGGGTGGCCGGAAGCACAGCACACGCAGGTAAGAACCGGACCTATACTTAGTGGCCACGACCACCGCTGCCTATCACAGCAGAAGTTGACAATGCTCGGGCCCTTTGTCTGGACACAAGGAGCGAATCGCACAGATGACGGGGTGCGACACCTGAAGCGGAGCATCTTGTCCGCTCTGGCCACTGCTTTTCCATGCTTTCCGCCTCGGCTTCAGTGCTTGGCAGCTCGAAGCGGAAGGCAGAAACCCGCCTGAGGATTCCAGAAGGAGGAGCTTTGCCCAAAATTCGGAAAGGGGCCTCAGCTGAACACAGACCATGAATCGAAAAATTGCCGTGAGCCCGTGTTTTGGAAGCTGGGCGTCAGTCAGGCCGGCCACTGTCAGCGTGGTGTCGTCCCCTGGCGACTTGGACTCAACAGACACTCCAAACTCTTCCCAAGCACGAGGCACACAGCATGCGCAGCCGTCCTGTGGCTGAGTGGATTGATTCTGCCAAATGCCGGATGAGCTCAGGAACCTTAACGAACGTGACATGCATCGCCCGCGGAGCAGAGCCAGAACAACCCCCATCTCAGCGCTTACTTCCCACCGCGTACGCGCTGCAGCTCTGCAGTGTCATCGTCAAACCTATGGGGCTTGGAATCCTTTGACAAGCACGAACATAAACCTGCTGGAATGCAGCAATACGGCAAGCCACTCTTAAAGGGAGCTTAGACCATCCCGATCAATCAGCAAAGCCTTGACCGGAACTGTCTGATACGCGAAGCACACTACAAGAACGAGGTACGGCACTCGACCACCAACAGAGCACAAAGGAAGGACGGCAGACATTGAACCCTTGAAGGTTGAAGCGTGGAAGACTTACAAGAACGATGGACTGCGAAACGACAACAAACTCTGCACTGAAAGGGGCTGATGCGTGACACACTCTGCAAGAACGACGGTCGGCAAAACCTTTAAATCCTAGCAGGACCGAGACGCACCATAACAACGATGGGCGACAAACAACAACACAAAAAAGACGGAGGCCAAAAACACACCGCAAGAGCGATGGGCAGC